CCCCCCCCCCCCCCCCCCCCCCCCCCCCCCCCCCCCACCCCCCCCCCCCCCCCCCCCCCCCCCCCCCCCCCCCCCCGCCCCCCCCCCCCCCCCCCCCCCCCCCCCCCCCCCCCCCCCCCCCCCCCCCCCCCCCCCCCCCCCCCCCCCCCCCCCCCCCCCCCCCCCCCCGCCCCCCCCCCCCCCGCCCCCCCCCCCCCCCCCCCCCCCCCCCCCCCCCCCCCCCCCCCCCCCCCCCCCCCCCCCCCCCCCCCCCCCCCCCCCCCCCCCTCCCCCCCCCCCCCCCCCCCCCCCCCCCCCCCCCCCCCCCCCCCCCCCCCCCCCCCCCCCCCCCCCCCCCCCCCCCCCCCCCCCCCCCCCCCCCCCCCCCCCCCCCCCCCCCCCCCCCCCCCCCCCCCCCCCCCCCCCCCCCCCCCCCCCCCCCCCCCCCCCCCCCCCCCCCCCCCCCCCCCCCCCCCCCCCCCCCCCCCCCCCCCCCCCCCCCCCCCCCCCCCCCCCCCCCCCCCCCCCCCCCCCCCCCCCCCCCCCCCCCCCCCCCCCCCCCCCCCCCCCCCCCCCCCCCCCCCACCCCCCCCCCCCCCCCCCCCCCCCCCCCCCCCCCCCCCCCCCCCCCCCCCCCCCCCCCGCCCCCCCCCCCCCCCCCCCCCCCCCCCCCCCCCCCCCCCCCCCCCCCCCCCCCCCCCCCCCGCCCCCCCCCCCCCCCCCCCCCCCCCCCCCCCCCCCCCCCCCCCCCCCCACCCCCCCCCCCCCCCCCCCCCCCCCCCCCCCCCCCCCCCCCCCCCCCCCCCCCCCCCCCCCCCCCCCCCCCCCCCCCCTCACCCCCCCCCCCCCCCCCCACCCCCCCCCCCCCCCCCCCCCCCCCCCCCCCCCCCCCCCCCCCCCCCCCCCCCCCCCCCCCCCCCCCCCCCCCCCCCCCCCCCCCCCCCCCCCCCCCCCCCCCGCCCTCCCCCCCCCCCCCCCCCCCCCCCCCCCCCCCCCCCCCCCCCCCCCCCCCCCCCCCCCCCGCCCCCCCCCCCCCCCCCCCCCCCCCCCCCCCCCCCCCCCCCCCCCCCCCCCCCCCCCCCCCCCCCCCCCCCCCCCCCCCCCCCCCCCCCCCCCCCCCCCCCCCCCCCCCCCCCCCCCCCCCCCCCCCCCCCCCCCCCCCCCCCCCCCCCCCCCCCCCCCCCCCCCCCCCCCCCCCCCCCCCCCCCCCCCCCCCCCCCCCCCCCCCCCCCACCCCCCCCCCCCCTCCCCCCCCCCCCCCCCGCCCCCCCCCCCCCACCCCCCCCCGCCTCCGCCCCCCTCCCCCCACCCCCCCCTGCGGCTTAATTTGACCTCAAACACGGGAAACCTCACCCGGCCCGGACACGGACAGGATTGACAGATCGATAGCTCTTTCTCGATTCCGTGGGTGGTGGTGCATGGCCGTTCTTAGTTGGTGGAGCGATTTGTTCTGGTTAATTCCGATAACGAACGAGAATCTGGCATGCTAACTAGTTACGCGACCCCCGAGCGGTCGGCGTCCCCCAACTTCTTAGAGGGACAAGTGGCGTTCAGCCACCCGAGATTGAGCAATTAACAGGTCTGTGATGCCCTTAGATGTCCGGGGCTGCAAGCGCGCTACACTGACTGGCTCAGCGTGTGCCTACCCTACGCCGGCAGGCGCGGGTAACCCGTTTGAACCCATTGCGTGGATGGGGATCGGGGATTGCTAATTATTTATCTCCATGAACGAGGAATTTCCAGTAAGTGCCGGGTCATAAGCCCTTGCGTTGATTAAGTCCCTGCCCTTTTGTACACACCGCCCGTCGCTACTACCGATTGGATGGTTTAGTGAGGCCCTCGGATCGGCCCCCGCCGGGGTCGGCCCACGGCCCTGGCGGAGCGCTGGAGAAGACGGTGAACTTGACTATCTAGAGGAAGTAAAAGTCGTAACAAGGTTTCCGTAGGTGAACCTGCGGAAGGATCATTAACGGGACGACCCGGGCCGCGAGGAGGAGGGTCGTCGTCGTCGGCGTCTTCCGTCTCCGCGTCCGTGGCCGTTCCCGTTCCCGCTCGCCGGAGCCGGGCCTCGCGGTCGCGCGCGTCCGCGTGTCGGGGGTGGGCCGGGGGGAGATCGAGGAGAAGGGGGGGCGTCTCGGACCGCCCGCCGCCCCCTCCTCCCTCCCTCCTTCGCTCGCCTCACCACCGCGGGCCCGGCTTTCCGCTCTCGGGCGGCGTCTCGCGGTGTGTCCGGGGCATCGGGGGGCGGACCTCGAGCGTTCCGCTTCCCCGCTCCTCCCTCCGAGTCTCCCCGCCCGCGCGCGGTCTCGCGGGCCGCCGGTCGCCCTCGGCGCCGCGCGCCCGGGGGGTGCGGGCGTTTCTGCGGGGGCCCGCCCGCCCGTACGCGGGTGGTCCGTTCGGGGTCCCCCGTCCGTCCGCGCCGTCTCCCGCGGCGCCGGCCGCCCCACCACGCCGTGTGGTGGGGGGGGGTGGCGGGCGTCTCGCTCCCCTCGCCGGCCGTTCTCGCCCGCCCGCCCGCCCGGCCGCCTCGCCTCCGGGTCTCTTCTCCGCGCGTCACCCGTCGCCCCGCGAGCTCCACCGCCTCCGCGAGCGGCACGCCCCTTCCTCCCCCGGCGCCGCTCGCTCGGCGCGCGTCGTGGAAGGAGAGGCGGGTCCCGGGATCCCCGCGGGTCTCGCGGGCCGGGGGTGGCGCGAGGAGGTGAGGGGCGTGGAGGGAAGGCGCGAGGGCGGAGCGTGTGGGAGCGGCCGTGGGGGGGGCGTGCGTCCGCTCCGCGTCGCGGGGCCCGGCGGCGCCGCGGCCGGTCCCGCGTGTCCCGCGCCGTGCAGGCGGTGGTGGGGGGAGCTCGAGGGGGGGTGGAGCCGGCTCGCTCCCGGATCCGCCGTCCCTCCCCGCCTCGCCCGTCCGCCGCTCCTGTCCCAGGTACCTAGCGCTTCCGGCGCGGAGGTTTAAAGACCCCTCGGGGGTCGCCCGTCCGCCCGCGGGGTCGGGGCGGCGGGCCCCGCGTGGGTCGTGGGGCCGCGTGATGGGGCGTCGTGCGGTCCGGGGCCCCGTCCCGGTCCGCTCTCTCCCCACACACACACACACGCTCTTCCCGGTCTCCTCCGGACTCCGCCACCCAAACCCCACGACGGGCCAGGTCGGGCGGCGGGGTGGGCCGTGGCGCCCGCGCGCGCGCCCGCGGCGGCCCCGCCGGGGTTTGGGAGACCCTCGGGGACCGTCGCCGTGGTGCCGCGCGTGCGCGCGTCGCTTTCGCGCTGTCCGCCCTCTCCGTTCCGCTCTGGGTCGCCGTGGGGGCGGTGGTGGGAACCCCCGGGCGCCTGTGGGGGTTCGGTGCCGCCCGCGCGCTCGCCCTCGCGGGTGGCGCCGGACGGATGCCGGCCCCCCGCGTCTCGTTCTCTTCCCGACCCCAAAAGGCGTTCTCGTCTCGTCGTCACCTGTGCTGGCCGGACCGAGGCGATCCCCCTCTTCCGACCGCCCGCGGGGACGGGAGAGGGGGCTGTGTGCCGCGTCAGCCGGGCGGGAGGGCGTGGGCGCGCGCGCGCGTGCGGGTGGGGGGGGACGCGATCGTCCCTCTCCCACGCCGGCGCGCGCCCCGCCCGCCGTCCACCCTCGTGTAAAAACCTCGTACGACTCTTAGCGGTGGATCACTCGGCTCGTGCGTCGATGAAGAACGCAGCTAGCTGCGAGAATTAATGTGAATTGCAGGACACATTGATCATCGACACTTCGAACGCACTTGCGGCCCGGGTTCCTCCCGGGCTACGCCTGTCTGAGCGTCGCCTGACGATCAATCGCCTCCCCCGCGGTGGTCTGCTTCCGAGCTCTCCAGCCGGGGAGGGGGGGGTTGTCGCGCGGCTGGGGGTTGCTCGTGGGCCAGCCCGACTCTCGTCCGCGGGCCCTCCGTCCCCTAAGAGCAGACGACGGCCGATCGCGTGCGCGTCACGTCGCCGAGACGAGCGAGAGAGCGAGGGTCGCGGGCGCCCTCCGCCGCGGCCCGTGGCCCGCGGGGAGGCGCTCACGCCGAGGCGACGAATTCCCGCGTCCCCGCGGCGTTCCCGTCCGGGAACGGCGTCTCGCGCCGCACCGGGGTCCGTCTGGCTCGCTCCGAGGCCCCGCGGGTCGCGTTTGCGGGGTCCGCGCCCCCGGGGACGCACGCCCCGGGGGGGCCCGCGGGACGCCGCGGTGTCCGTCCCGCGCGCGCTTCCCTCCCGGGGCGCGGCCGCGTCGCGCCGCGTCGCCCGAGCCCACCGCCGACGCCGGCCCGTGTTCACCCGCCGCCCGTCCGTCCCGTCCCGCCCCGGGGCCGTCCCGCCCATCGCTCCCGCCCTCCCGCCCCTCCCGTCTCGTCCCGGTCGGCCGGCCCGCCGCCTCCGCCCCCTCCGGGGAGGGAGGGCTGGCCTCGCGGAGCCGGCGGGTCCGAGGAAGAGCGCGGGGGACGGTGGTGGGGGTGGACAAAAGAGCGAAAGACGGGGTCTCCCGCGGCGGGCACCGGGCGGCCGTCGGCGCCGTGGAAGCCTCGGCGCGTGGGCGCGCGTCACCCGCCCTCCGGCGGCGGGGTCCGCGCCCGCGCTCCCTCGACTCTCTCCGCGGCTCTCGCGCGTCGCGTGCGCGTCGCCCCGACCGACGGGGCCGGCCTTCCATCTCCGGGAGCCTCGCGGTCGCGCGTGGCTTGTGCGCGGAGGAGGGGGAAAGGGGAAGGAGCGTCCCGGGGGCGGCGCGCGGTTCGTTCGGGGGCGTGGGTGTGGTGGTGGTGGTGGTGGTGTGGTGGTGCGGGGGGGAGGACGCGGTGTCGTGCCGGGTGCGGGTCCGGCGGCGGACGCGTGCGGGTGAGTCGGGTCGCGGGGACGGTTCCGCCGCCCCCTCCGCGCCTCCGCTCCGCGCCGCCGCCCGCCCCGGCCCTCCCGCTCTCCTCTCCTCCTCCTCCTCCTCCTCCCTCCTCCTCCTCCCCCGCCAACCTCCGACGGGGCCTCCCCGCGCCCCCACACGGCGCCCGTCCCCCTTCCTTTCCCCGCGCCCGCCTCCGCACCCCCGGCTCCCCGCCCTCCGGAGACGCGACCTCAGATCAGACTGGCGACCCGCTGAATTTAAGCATATTAGTAGCGGAGGAAAAGAAACTAACGAGGATTCCCTCAGTAACGGCGAGTGAACAGGGAAGAGCCCAGCGCCGAATCCCCGCCGCGCGGGCGCGGCGGGACGTGTGGCGTACGGAAGACCACTCCCGGCGCCGCTCGTGGGGGGCCAAGTCCTTCTGATCGAGGCCCAGCCCGCGGACGGTGTGGAGGCCGGTAGCGGCCCCCGGCGCGCCGGGCCCGGGTCTTCCCGGAGTCGGGTTGCTTGGGAATGCAGCCCAAAGCGGGTGGTAAACTCCATCTAAGGCTAAATACCGGCAGAGACCGATAGCCAACAAGTACCGTAAGGGAAAGTTGAAAAGAACTTTGAAGAGAGAGTTCAAGAGGGCGTGAAACCGTTAAGAGGTAAACGGGTGGGGTCCGCGCAGTCCGCCCGGAGGATTCAACCCGGCGGCGCGCGTCCGGCCGTGCCGGCGGTTCCCGGCGGATCTTTCCCGCTCCCCGTTTCCTCCGACCCTCACCCGTCCGCGCGGCCCTCTCCTCCCCGGTCCCCTCCGCCGCCCCGTCCCCCTTCCGGGGCGTCGGGGTGGGGGTGCGGCCGAGGGGGGTGTGGCGGCGGGCGGGCGGGGCCGGGGGTGGGGTCGGCGGGGGACGCCCCCGGCCGGCGACCGGCCGCCGCGGGCGCACTTCCACCGCGGCGGTGCGCCGCGACCGGCTCCGGGACGGCTGGGAAGGCCCCGGCGGGGAAGGTGGCCCGGGGGTCCCCGCCCGGTCCCCGTCCGTCTCGGCGGGCGGGGCCGGCGGGACCCGGTCCCCGGGTGTTACAGCCCCGCCCCGGCAGCAGCGATCGCCGAATCCCGGGGCCGAGGGAGCCAGGACCCGTCGCCGCGCTCTCCCCCGCCCGCCCCGCGCTCCCGCCCTCGCGGCCGGAGGTGGCGCGGGCGGCGGAGGGAGGGGCAACCCTCCCGAGGGGGGCGGGCCGCCCTCCACGGCCCGCGCCCCGCTTCTTCCCACCCCGCCCCTTCCGTCGCGCCGACGGGGGGGTGCCGGGGGCGGGGGCGGCTGTCCCCAGTGCGCCCGGGCGAAGTCGCGCGTCGGGCCCGGGGGTCCGTCCGAGCCACCCGCCTCCAGCCTCCGCGCGGAGCGTAGGCGGAGCGAGCGCACGGGGTCGGCGGCGACGTCGGCCACCCAACCCGACCCGTCCTTGAAACACGGACCAAGGAGTCTGACGCGTGCGCGGAGTCAAGGGGCTCGCGCGAAGCCGCCGTGGCGCAATGAAGGTGAAGCGGGTGGGGGGGGCGCGCCGGGGGCCCCCGCGCTCCCGCGCCTCCCCCCACCCCGAAGTGGGGATCCCGAGGCCTCTCAGTCCGCCGAGGGGCACCACCGGCCGTCTCGCACCGCCGCGCCGGGGAGGTGGACCCGAAGCGCACGCGTCGGGACCCGAAAGCTGGTGAACTATGCTGCGCAGGGCGAACAGAGGAAACTCTGGTGGAGGTCCGTAGCGGTCCTGACGTGCAATCCTGGTCGTCCGCTGCGTTGGGGCGAAAGATAATCGACATCTAGTGCATGGTTCCCTCCGAAAGTTTCCCTCAGATAGCTGGCGCTCGTCGCAACGACGGAGCCCCGCCCGTGGCAGTTTTTTTCGGTAAAGCGAATGATTAGAGGTCTTGGGGCCGAAACGATCTAACCTATTCTTCAAACTTTAAATGGGTAAGAAGCCGGCTCGCGGCGTGGAGCCGGGCGTGGATGCGAGTGCCTAGTGGGCCTTTTGGTAGCAAAACTGGCGCTGCGGGCATTGAACCGAACGCGCGGGTGTAAGGCGCCCCGATGGCCGACGCTCATCAGACCCCAGAAAAGGTTGTTGGTTGATGATAGACAGCAGGACGGTGGCATTGGAATCGGAACTCCGCTAAGGAGTGTGAGTCACAACTCAACCTGCAGAATCAACTAGCCCTGCAAATGGATGCGCTGAGCGTCCGGGCCATACCCGGCCCGTCGCCGGCAGTGCGGACGGGACGGAGCGGCCTCCCGGCGCGCCCCACCGCACCCCGCCCCGCCGCGCCCAACCCCGCCCGCCTCCCCTCCTCCTCCTCCTCCCGCGTCGTACCCCCGGGCGTCGCGGTGG